ATCACGGACAAGTATATGCCTAAATCTTCTCAAGCAGAGGGGATTTAAGGATTACAAATTTTCGTTCGTGGTACGCCCATAATGAGGTCAAGTCTAATTAAGAATGAAGGTGGGAAGCAGCATTGTCATTGTACTCACGCACCAGTGCCACGGACACAAAGTATATATTTTATCCACCAAATAATCGAACGAATGTTGGTGTAATGTAAAAACGGTTATGAACTATGAACTCTTTCGAACAAATACCACTTCTCGATTACTTCAGCGAATGTCGCTCTCCACTTCGACGTAAATTATAAAGCTACCACAGCCTGGCACCCAATTTATTAAACCAGTTTATGATTCACCCAATTTACACTAACGCTTGTTCGCAATATATAATTTCAGCACCGAATCGGTACGAACTGATGGAAAGATTCTTGTTCTTATTGATTAACAATTTTTCATGTATTTTTTTTAAAACTCATAGCGATACAGTGCCCGAGATGACTTGAAGGTGATAGGTCTTCTGATGGTTGGCAGATTCTCTGATGATACCGATGCAATTTGTTTCAAACGTTGGAATTGTTGTAAATAACACTCTTTTATAGTGTTTTCTCGTGCTGCCAACAAAGGAATCAGAAGTTCTATTACGTTCAACAATTTTTATGGCAATTATCATTTCTCTGAAATTATGACTGCTTCTTCTTACATTATAGCGCCATTAGACAGCGGCTAACCCGGGATAAATTTAAGTCTTGCATTCCTTCAAAGATTCTAAACCAAATACGCTCCTTGCACTGATCACAAGTTCGAAAACTGGTTTGCTTTCATTGCACGCGTATTTAACTGCGTATTTCGCGAAATGCCCCTCAGCAGAAATAAAGTTGTTTAATACCTCACAACGAGCACTTCGCGAAGTAACAAACAAATGCTACCCAGAAAAAGATCTTCCGATTCAACAGTTAAACGATCAATGAAGAAAATTCACGGTTAAGAGGCTTTCTTCTAAGCCTAAGTTTTGGAAACCACCAAATCGTATACCTTCAGACTTCGTGTTAGGATTCGAGAGGCAACTTTTCAGGACATTTGTAAAACCTTGTTATTTATTCATTGTACGAACTATTTAGAATGATCAATGTTTTACGAAGCATACAGCCAGATTTTTTAATGCTGCACACGGCGTATCAGATTTTGGCTTATTCCAAATGGGTAGCGAACAAAAGCACGTGAATGATCGCAGGCTTTCACACAGTCGTGTCCGTTAACTGAGGATCAGTAGCAACAAAGCGACGGATGAAAAGCATTTACTCATGTAGCGGCATTTCATTAGTGCCAATACTTGCAATTCGAACTGTAACGTCTTGTGTAAATGTCAACTATGTTTCGATATTTGGAGTTAATCCGCGCTCGAAAAGAAGAACAGTCATGGAAATTGAATTGAATTTAGAGTTAGCTATGGATTGCCTTTCTTTATGCGTGTATTAGACAATTTGAACATCTTTCTAATTTAATTTTGGTCAGAGCACCGCGATTTTTATCATTTCATATGTGGAAAATGTATTACACACCGGAATTTAACCGTTTAAGCGGTTTGCTTTCCCACTACTTCAAGCTGATTTACAGGTTAGAAAAGGTTAATCAGCAATTGCCACTGCCTAGATTACGTTTTTTTCAATAAATTAGACGGAGGCGCTGCGCTCAGCGAAAGAAATCAATATTCTAGGTGACATTGCAACTGCCACCAAGCAAGTTAGCTCAGCACTTTTGTTAATAGCGTTAGGGTAGTTTTATTCATCTGTTTCAGACTTATTCACATTTAGTTTTAATTAATATGCGCCGCCAAAGTTTCAAATTTGTCATTTTTTATCTGTTTGAAATGCGGCATCTTTTGCTAATCCTGTTACATAGATAATTGTGGATTTCACTGGAATGAAGGAGCTTCAATATTAAGCATTGATGTGTCACCCAAACGACAAGTATCTACGTCGTGTTCAAATAATCATTACATGCTTCTATCAAAATGATTATGATAATTTTCCTTCACCTTGGAACGAAGTATGTTCTTAGGTTTTATTCTTCATCTATCAGAATCATTATTATGAAAAACAGAACTAAACTCTAGTTCTACAGAGTATTCAAATAGTAAAATAGATATTCATTAAGAAATCATGAGAAAAAATGTATATATTTAAAAAAAGACTTTTAGTTGGCATTTGACATATGTCGGTACTTCTAATGCGAAAAAACTGATGAAGAATATTATGGCACAATAATAGTTATTGCGACACTTTGGCCGTTTTATCTTTAAAAACGAAATTTTTTCATTTATTCGGGAATTCAGTTCGAAATTCAAAATTTCCCCTGCGACATGACAGTGGATAGACATATTTGCAATAATTTCGATATGCCAGTCATCTCATAGAGGATTTCTAAATTCGATCTAATTTCTTGATTCA